TAATGGCGTTTTGTGCTCTCCTATTGGTAGAGCGGGTGACGTCAACCAATAGGAAAGATTAATTTAACCCAGGTTGGTGCAAACCCGATCGAGCCGAAAACGCTATAAGGCCGGAATCAGACTACGCATTGAAGAATGTGATTGAATATTGAAAGAGTGAAGTTTAACCAATCAGGACAAAAGGAGCCAGAATTTCTTTGTTCTCATTGGTGACATTTCAATCTTTAATCTTCAATCTCAATCTTCAATGCATAGTTTGATTCCGGCCTAAGCCATTCCGCAGGTCCTCACAGCTTACAGGTTAAATTTCTCGACGTTAAAGAGATTTTCCAATTGATTGAAAATGACCCGCGATTTTACCGAGCTGTTTTTCCGAAATTTGCTTCTTCACTACTTCGACCTCAAGAAAACCGCAGTTGAAGCGCATCGCTTATTATCCAAAGTGTATGGTGATGAGACTCCATCGGAAACAACTTGTAGAATTTGGTTTGAACGCTTACGAAACGTGATTTTGACGTGAGAGATAAAGAACGTCTTGGACCGCCGAAAAAATTTTAAGATGTCGAGCTGCAAGAATTGCTCGATGAGAATCCAGGTCAAACAGTTTTAGAGTTGTCGATTGCGTTAAATGTTACTCGAATGGCCGTTTCAAAACGCTTGCATACTTTGGGAAAAATTAATAAGGAAGGAAATGGTTACCACACGAGTTGTCAAAAATGCCATTTTGAATCGTTTATCTGTCACGACTTCTTTGCTTGTCAGGCAAAGAAAAAAGAGTTTTTTGTAGCGCATCGTGACTGGAGATAACAAATGGATTTATTTTGATAATCCCAAGCGGAGGAAATTAGGGGTGAGCCCCAGCCAACCATCCACTTCAACATCAAAGAATATTCGCAGGCTTAAGACCTTGCTTTGCATTTGGTAGGACCAGGACGGTGTGCTGTATTACAAGCTATTGCGCCAAAATAAAATCACTACAGCTGATCACTATCAACGGCAATTACGTCAATTGAGTAACAAATTGATGCAAAAAAGACCATCCATAGCCAACAATCTATGCAGTCATTTTATTGCATAACACTCGACCACGGAAAGTATGAAGCAGATACTTTTACAATATGAATAGGAAATTCTCCCATATCCAGCGTACTCTCCAGACTTGGCACCATCGGATTACCATTTCTTCCTGTCGATGCAACACGCACTTACGGACACATACTTCTCCAGTCACAAAGAAGTCCAAAAATGGTTGGGTGAATGGATTGCTTCGAAAGACACTGCGTTCTACCATCGTGGGATTGCCCTATTGTCGGAGAGATGGGAAAAAGTAATAGAAAATGGGGGAAATTACTTATTACTTTGATTAAGGTATTCATTCATCTTCCCTTTGAAACAATTTTGGAGATGAAAAAACGGGAGGAATTAAGTTTATCACCTAATAAAATGATGATAGAATGTGGATTCATAAATACTTGAAACAAATCTTTTTAATTGTATATTTTATTTTTTTATTGCATTTAAGATATGCAAAAAGATTCAACTCCATTTTAGTTATTTCGTATATTATATTTTTTTAATGAGAAAATCAGGGTTGGATAGTGCCAAGTTAAAAAGCTAAAATTTAAGTTAAAAAGTTGAAAAGTTAAATAATTTTAACTTAACTTAGTTACATTTTAGACTCTGAACTTTTTAACTTTATTTAGTTACATTTTGTTCTTGTGTCGAAAGGGATAGATTAGTATCCACTTCGTCGTTCCGTATATATATATATAGTTTATTAAGTTATAACACATAAACGATATGTACAGTTGATATGTATGTCGCTTACTAATCAAGAATGTTTGTTTTTCGTTTATCTGCGGCAACGCCTGGGAACGAATTTACGTCCTGAGCCGCCTTTCGCGTGGGAGCGATATCGTAACTCGCCCTGCTTGTCGCTTTGTCAGATGTATGAAATCTTTGCACTGCTTTATGCCACCTTTTGCCTCGCCTTTTGCCGAACGAAACTCGGTACGCTTAAGGCACTTGCCTGATATCGCGGTATAATCGCACGTACTGGATACCGTTGGTAACGACTCGTCAACGTGTCGCCCCTTTCCCACCACCACGACCAATCAGCGCGGACCGGAAATTTTTCCGACGCTGAATTTGTTATGTTGGATTTATTCGCCCCGGCAAAATTATCGATGTGCAAGAGCGTATTGTGCCGTTTTTGACAGATCGTGCAACTAGAGAATTTGCAAGCGCTACCTCTGTGAGACCGCAAGCAATTGTAACACAGCTTCGCACTCTTGACTACGTCGATCCGTTTTTGTGCGGAGAGAAGTTTGAATTTTTCGCATAGATATAAAGGATGTCGTTTACTCTTGCATATCACGCAATTACGCGAAGCGTTCAGCATAAACGCCTGGTTTGCTACGGAAACGCGTTTCTTCTTAATTAAGGGCTCGATCTTATTCTTTTCAGATTCTGTCGCCTTCGCTCTCTCTCGTTTCGACGCGCAGATCGCGGATTTATACAAAAATTCGTACATAAATTCGAGTTTCGGAAATTCATCCCTGTCGAGACTGGTTTCCCATCGCTCTAATGCGCTCTTTGGCAGTTTACTTTCTAATGTATGTACGACTACTTCGGACCCGACGCTGACTCCTAGTGCGCTTAATGATGCCACATGCTGCTGTGCATCGTCCGCGAGTTTAGATAGCCCGGTTGTCGATTCTCTATCTAACGTCGGCAAGCCAAAGAGCAACGACAGATGTCGCGAAATCAGAACGCGTTTCACCTCGTATGCACGTTCGAGTAACTCCCAAGCTTTCGAATAATTTATTCCATCTATTTCGAAAATGCGTATTTTACTCGCAGCCTCGCCTGTCAATGCGGATTTGAGGTAATGTAATTTGTCAATTTCTGAAAGATCGGTTTGCGACCCTATCATATTGTGGAAGGTGTTTTTGAACGACAGCCACGATTCGTATTTGCCATCGAATGTCGGCGCATCGGGCAGTTTTATCCATCGTTTCTTGACCGATGTAGAAAGCGTCGCATCGTTGTTTCGACTCTCCCCGGTCGACGCACTGGTACTCGATTCCGCGACGTCGGCCGCGCGTGTTATGGTTTCGACTCTACTCGCGAGTGAATAATATCGGTCCTGCAAATTCGTAAATTCAGTTTGATGTCTTTCATCTGAGTCTAACACCGCTAATTCGTCGTTATGATCCTCGAATGCGCGATATAATTCCGTTAAACGATTCATTCGGAACCTTACAGCAATATGATCCAATTCACCTTTGTCGAGGATATTATTTAAGCTCGTGATTTGTGACTTTACCGATGTCCGCTTTTGTATAAGTATTTTAATTTTGTCGGTCATTGTACCGAATTTAAAAACGAAGGAGAGAGAAATGAGATCTTACTTCTCGTTGGTATGAGATACTTAATTCTGTCTGATGTACGCAGCCGTCTCCTTCCCTTCTGGATCTTTCAGCGCCTATGATGTGAAAGGCAATCGTCTCGTCTCGATGTTCCGTTTCAGGCGTGGATTTCACACCTCACAGGAGGCATCAAAATGTTCTTGTGTCGAAAGGGATAGATTAGTATCCACTTCGTCGTTCCGTATATATATATATA